TTGCTTAAGTTGTTTCTGATCTGAACTCTGTCGGATTTTTAAACTTACAGTCAGAGGTTGCTTGTTCGAAAAAAAAAAACGTTCAAGGTGTTGTATTTCTTTTTTGATTCTGTTCAAATTGGCGATGTTTTGAATGGTTTGTTACTTTACACTTTACATTTTTTCTACCAATATCAGCATCTAAAACGTCGAATATTTTGTTGACAAGGACAGATTAAAGCGACGACCAACTGCTTTTTAAAAATTTTCTATTTTTCTCAAAACTTCCTCTGCACTCACCATTTCTGAAGAATCAATTTGTTTATCAAGATTTGCAATTAGTGGGCAGTTCTCTCTTCAAAAATGTTAGGTGAAACAAAAACTCTGAGATGATTTTATTGGGCGACTTCAAAACGTCACAAAAAATAAGTAGAAAAAAGTTGTTTTTATTAGTGAACCATTGCTGCGTTACTTGAAAACAGAATAAACGCTTTTTGTTTTGGACTGCTTTTTTCCCTGTTCTTTTTCTTTTACTAGTTCTTTTCAATTTCTCCTCTTAATTGATACAGCATCGTCACATTTCAATAGTTGTCCTCAATAACGATTGGTATTAGGTACGTGAACAGTCAATTATGTAATGCTGTGGTTTAAACACTTCCACTGAACGTCTCTTGAGATACAGTTCAGTAATGTTTGCAGTCTGCCAATAGCTCCCCAACTGTAGCGCACGTTCTGTTAGAACTCAATAGAGGATAGCTGACTGGCATTCTTTTGAGCCAGTGTGGGAACGTGAATACGTGTTGCATATCTTCGAATGTCCATCATTCTAACAGCATATCAAATTTTCAGGGTGCATGGTATCATCTTTCTCTCCACGAGTTCGAACTTCTGGTGGAGTGGAGTCTGTGAAAGTTGTCGTACGATGTCGCCCAATATCGGAAACCGAAGCTGCTGCTGGACACAAAAAGTGAGAGCCGTTTTCTACTTAGTTTTTTTCATACTCTTAATTTATAGAGCAGCTCTAGCATTTACGCCTGCTTTTGAAAAATTAGCGGTTCTCTGTGACTGCTAATGTACGTTATTTAATTTCTTCAGTGTTGTAAATATGAATACCGAAAGAGGTGTTGTCGAGCTGTGGGATCCAAAGTCGTTAATGGAACCTGCGAAGACATTCACTTTTGATGCAGTTTATGATACAGAGTAATATTTTGTTTCTAGCTTTTTGGAATTTATTACAGCCGTATCAAAAGGTTATTTATCTTTGAAACAATCTGAATGACAAAATTTTGGTGCTGTTTGATTCTGTTCACTAACATTCCAAATTAGCAGTTTTCAGCAAATAGGTTGCAAAATGTGTTGGTTGCGACTCGATAAGTGAATTTTGCTTTAAAAATTAAGCAACTGTTGTTTGGAAACGTCGTGTTTAATTTTTTTTTAATTTTTAGATTGATTTCTCAAATTTTTTCTTTTCAACTGCATCGTGTTTTTATTATCGTAGTTACTTATTTTTATCGACTGCATAATTTAGTTATGCTTGAGGAGACGTAGGAGAACCTTAAGGATTCTGGGTTTGTCAGATGAAACGAAGGAAATTTGATTTCAGTTCAAAGCAGATTGATCTTTATGATGAGACGTTTCGCGAGCTTGTTGATTCGGTTCTCAACGGGTTTAATGGTACTATTTTTGCATATGGCCAAACTGGCTCCGGAAAAACCTATACAATGGAAGGTGAATGATATTTAATTTCAGAAGTTTTATAAAAATACATTTTACTTTCAAATTATAGCAGTTTAAACTAGCTTTATTTACAGGTACACATGATAATGAAGAACTTCGCGGAGTAATCCCAAATTCATTTGCGCATATTTTCCAGCATATAGCGCAGTCACACAACCAACAATACTTAGTTCGGGCTAGCTATCTCGAAATATATCAAGTATTACTCTCTGTACTTTATTTTTAATACTCATCTTTATCAAGATATTGATATGCAATGTCAAGCTGTTTTTTCTAACATTTCAAATGTGACGTCAAAGGCTATTTTTGCCACTTCCATTTTGTCTGATATTTGTGCTTTAAGAATGTTTGGATACCAGAATTACTTTTTGCAGTTGTAGTTATTAGTAAAGGGGAAGGAGATGAAAACTGAATCAAGATATTTGGTGATTAGTTGGTAATTTCAACAGTGCCAACATTACTACATTGAAATTTCAGGAGGAAGTTCGCGATTTGCTGAGCAAAACTCCGGAAGTAAAAATGGAACTACGGGAAAGACCAGATACTGGAGTTTACGTTAAGGATCTAACCTCTTTTGTTACAAAGTCAGTAGAAGAAATCCGACACGTGATGTCAGTGGGACGAAGTAATCGTTCGGTCGGGTATGTGTTTTTTGCATCTCTTAATAAATTTAAAACCGGTTTTCTTGCAAAACCGCTGTCGCTGAAATGTCCACATGTGTGTTGTTAGCAGTAATTTTAAGCTATCGATGAGGATATAGAAATTGTTTATTTTTTGCTTTTTTTCTTGCCAAAAAATTGATCTTGTCAGTAAAAATCTACTAATAAACATGATATATGTATGATTTTTATGACTTCACAAATTTTCAGGCGGACTAACATGAATGAGCACAGCAGCAGATCCCATGCCATATTCATTGTGACTGTTGAGTGTAGTGAGGTCGGTCCTGATGGAGAGAACCATATTAGGTTTGTTTAGCATGTGTTTTCTGCGCCATGTTCTTTTAATAATTAAGCATTTTTTACGGGGGTCTAATGTGCTTTCTACGTGTACTACCCGTTTTTCTTTTTATTCGCTCTTGAAACCCTTCTTTCTTTTTTCTTGCAAAAAATTTGGGATGTGTTTTGCTGTACGATGCGTATTGGTGTTTCTAAAAACATTTTTGTATTCAATAGAAAGTGAAAAAGCTTAAGACACTACAGCGATCGGAAACAAGATGCAGGCTAAGGTGATATGACACTATTTGTTTGGCTGATTTAAAATAGAACCTTAAGAGTTTCCAGGGGATCTCAGTCGAAAAAGTAAAAACAGCGGACGGCATGTCTTTTGCAGCTCTTTGCTCTTTGAGCTACAAAGAACAACGGCGGGCTTCATAAGCTACTGCAGACTGCTTCTTTCAAAATCTGTTTTGTGTGACTGTTTGTTGGGCTGGAAGTTAGAGATATGATAACCACTCTGTTAGAATTTTCAGTCACAGAAGCCAGGGAAATCATTTTTGTTGAAAAATCCACTTGCTACGTTAGCGAGAATAGCTTTAATAGCAACGTTATGTTTTTATTTTAACCTCTTTTCTCGTGAGCAGCAAAAAATTGCGGCACTAAAACAGATACTATTTAATTCTCCTTCTGGCTCAAACAGCTGTTTGTGACACGCTTTTACCTTGATACATCTTGAACGAGATAAAACTTGAGTGTTACCTTATCTCTCTAATATTCACTGCACCAAAGTATCTTCTTCTTTGGTACCGTACTATGCTTTGTGCGGAATAAGGGCTTGAGGGAAGAGGTGCGTGACTTATAAAAGCTACAAGTGACTCATTTGATCATGTCGCAGTCCCTTTTTTATTATCTCGCTCGGCATCATCTTTTTCGATTGAATTTAATTGCACTTTGAAGTGTTTTTAGGACAGTAATAAGTGTAACAGAGTTTTCCATACGTTTTTAATGTATTTATGAAAAATATAGTTCTTATTTTATAGAGTTGGAAGATTAAATTTGGTAGATTTGGCTGGTAGTGAACGGCAATCAAAAGCGGGAACGTTTGGAAAACGCTTCAAAGAAGCCACCAAAATCAACCTTTCACTGTCTGCGCTTGGTAACGTCATATCTGCTTTGGTTGATGGGAAGAGCACGCATATTCCTTATAGGGACTCAAAACTTACAAGACTTCTTCAAGGTACCGTAATTGATTAATTTTGTTCGAAAACCTGTTTTTTGTTTCTTATTTATTGCAAATTTCTGGTAACTGCTATTTGTTTTTCTTAAAAATTTACTATTTTATTTTTGTTTAAATTCAATCTAGACTCTCTCGGCGGTAACGCGAGAACAATAATGGTTGCAAATATTGGGCCGGCATCTTTCAATTACGAGGAAACGCTGGGAACTTTGCGTTACGCAAACCGAGCAAAAAATATAAAGAATAAACCAAGGGTTAATGAGGACCCAAAAGACGCACTTTTGCGAGAGTTTCAGGTTTCTGAGTATAATTCTTATTTGTTTTAGTTGTTTTATTGTCCAAGTTAGTATTTGTTTAGGAGGAAATAGCTCGTCTGCGCGGGATGCTTGAAAAAAGGGCTTCGTCCGCACAAAGGAAACGTAAACGGGAGAAAAAAGCCACTGTGGGGGTTTCAGCTGAAAGTCTACCCTATGATGGTAGTTACTTTCCAAACACTTTTCTCACTCCTGCATTTAATTTTTTGTTTGGTTAAGTGGCAACTTATTTTTTGATTTTTATATTCAGTCTGCAATAATTTGTCTTTAGATTCGCTGACTGCTGAAGATTTCTTGAACGAGCAGCAAGCGAAGCTTCAAAGCGAGAAAGAGGCAATCATTGCTAACACAGAACTTATAGAAGAGGTTTAAGTTTTTTCAGCTTTTATACTTTTTTTAATATTATTTCAATCCTCAGCGATATAAAAAATCAGTGTTTTAAAAAACAATAAATTCGTATCACTGTTTTACTTTAGTAAGCAAGCTTATATTTTATTACACTGTCAAGATTACCTTGCAGTTAATCTTATCAGTGCCGTTTTTTTAAGGAGATCTGATACTGAAAAGCGATTTTTTTTTAAAAGGTATAGTGGGAATTGCGGTTGAAGTGGCTGTAAATATTAGGCGTTTCAACTGATGTAAATTTTTTACTTAAAATTAGGCATAGTTTAATTTCAGGAAAAGAAACAAATTTTATCAGAGTTGGAAGAACGTGTGCAGCAATTAGAGGAGGAGAGAAGAGCTCAGTTGGCAGTTGCGGAGAAAATTAAAACTATGCAAAGCAAAATGTTGTCAGGGGATGGCAATCTTCTTGATCAGACAAATGAACAACAGAAGCTTTTGGATCAACGGAGAAGGCAGCTTGCTGAACAAAAGGTCTTTCTTTAAGCTTCTCATTCTGATTTACTTGTCTTTCATCTAGTGAGGATGTTGGTTTTATGTTTGTGACGGATATGCTAGGATTTTAAGGTTTTTTGAAAACAGAAATTTTTTGTTGAACACTGAGTTTTTCAAATTCTACATGCAGTTTTTTAGAAGAAAGAAAGAGAAATCCTCCAACAGCTTGAAGCTCAAGAAGATACCACTGCCGAAATCCATCAAACGTTCGCGAATTTGCGACAAGAAGTAGAAGCTAAAACGAGGAAGCTGAAGAAATTGTATTTAAAACTGCAGCAGGTTAGGATGGCTTTTTGACATCTTTTTGCTTCTTCATTTTATTCTATATTCCTAATTTAGAAAACATAATTACAGGTGAGGGCAGAAATAGCGGATGCTGCAAGTAGTCACTCGCAAGAACGACGAGATCTTGAGTCTTCTGTGACCGAAATGAATAAAGAATTAAAGCTGAAGTAAGGAACAATACAAACTTTATAACAACTGAATAGATAATTCAGACCTAATATCTTCATTTTTGAACTGCGAATTCTTCTTCTTTCATGTTTAAGGCAAGGACGTGTGGAAATATTAGAGTCTATAAAGCGTTTTTCAGGTTACTTATAGTCGAAAACTTTATTCCACCTGATATAAGAGATAATTTACGAGAACGGGCCTACTGGGATGATGATGAAGACACCTGGAAACTTGGCAAACTTAACGATGTGCAGCAAAAAAATGGTACTTCCGAGGACGTGCTTGTTGAAAGTGCAGCAGACTCAGGAGTTTTGGCCAGTGAGGCTTCAACAAGCATCATCTCTTCTCCGCCCTATAAAAACCTACTTGAGAAACGTCCTGTAGGTTCTACATAAAATATATTTTTTTAATACCAAATTTGTGTAGGGTCAAGGTTATCATTAAACGTATTACCAGCTTATCAGCATTATAGATTTCAATTCCTGGTATGCGTCGTCCAACGACAGATTTCGAAAAAATAAATCTGAATCAGCTGCGACGGAAATTACGAGGGCAGCAGTTGCGATACGCAACATATCCTGAAAAAGTCTGTGGAATTGCACCTGAACAGGTACACGAACAGATACCTTTAGTTTATAATAGAATGCCAATTTACAGGTACAGTCGAAGAGTGGCCAAAAATTTTTAATGTTGAGGTTTTAGAAAGGCCATTTTTTTATATCTTTTTAGAAATTATTTTAAGTGAGATATTCTCAACAATTAGCTTATTTGTAAGCAACCTATCTCAAAAATCCTTCCTTTATAGTTTTTTTATAGATTCTGAGGTACTCTGGTGAGAATGTTATTGTGTTCCTGTCTCTCGAAAAATTGGAAAGGCGAACCAAGTCTTATAAGGAAGCCCTCTTTGAAGCAGAGATGCAGGTAAAGTTTTTCCAAAATGTTTAAAGATATTGCTGTTTACTCTTTAACTTAAACGTAATTAGTGAAATCTTTTTACTACATGATTTTAAGTTGATTATTTGAAGCAATGTTTCTCACTTCCTAGTTGTGCTTACGTTCAGTATCACTTACTTAGTAATATTTCTATTAATTATTTGGCTTAAAAAGTTGTCGCTTTGCAGAAAGACTTAAAAGACCGGAGTTTACTAATTGACGTCTCAAAGATTCCACGCTTGAAAACTGGTGTAAAAAATAGCAAGTCATCAGCTGCAGGGCAAGAGATTCCCAGAAGTCGAGATTCGAGGTGTGTTTTGTATGCTTTCAGTGCTTTGTTATCTATATTCATCTGTTTTTGTGCTATTATTGTTAAGAAAATTAATATTTTTCTACCGTTGCGTAATTTCCAGTAAATGGTGTCTCGCAAAATATCATTTTTTCTATTTTTTACCTTGTTATTTGTTTCTTTCCTGTTCCAGGCTTGGGTCGTCACATTCAAAAAACTTGCGCGCCCGCAACGTACTAACAAAAACTACTATTGGAGTCAGCGGAAATATGCTTCTTTATTCCAAAGCTCATGGTCTCGTAAACGGAGGCCAAGATTAGCTCAGGAAAACCAAGATATTTTAACGGGTGGATTAGATATATTCACAACAGATAGGCTATTTTGTAATATTCCTCATTCGGAATCTCATCACTGTTTCTGTAATGAACTTGTAAAATTCGTGCGAATGCAGTCGATACAGTCTTTGAAATTCCCCAGCAATTTTGAAAGCAGCACGAACTTGAAGTTTGACCGTTATCGACGGAAGATGAGGGAACGATCTTTGCCAATACCTGGCACAAGATACAGCAGTCCTGGACGCCGGCGAGAAAGGGAAACCTCAGTTCAAACAGGAAGCTATGAGGAAATATTAAGACGGTCGTACCTTAAATCAGAAAGAGATTCTTATTTGAAAGGTTTAACACATAGTTTTCCTGTCTTTGACTTGAATGATGGTACAGATTGGTCACCACGGAAAAATTTTTCCCATTATCTTTCTGACAATGACGACCATATTCAAAAGGCCTCAGAGTTTCCTGCTACTCGCATACCAATATTGATGAGCAGGTTGGTTTGAATTGTGCTTTTTTGGCTAGTTTTTTCGTTATTAACCTCGAGAACGTCTTTTTTTTAGATTACTATTTTGTAGGGAGATATAGAAGAATTATTTTTTCAGATCTGCATCTGCTGCATTCAGGACTTCAGAAGCACTTGCAAGAGACTCCATATTTAGGAACTCTTTTAATAGATCATATTCTGCTGGGTGTAAGTTGTTTGAAATATTGTTTATTTTTATTGTTTTTTTTCAGCCTTGCAAACATATTATAAATTTCTGTTTACTTATTTAACAAACATTTAAAAAGACTTGCAGTATCTCTGTTACTAGTCATTTTCAACTCTTGTTTTTAGTAGAGTATACGTCACAGTCTGATAACTGTTCTGAAGGATCGTGTGAGCGTTTGGTTGATGACTGCTTGGATACTCCGCTCGACATTTCTAGAAAACTACTTGAGCGTTGTTACACCCCAAGAAGGATTTCGACAGTTAATTATCCTAGAAGGTAATATAACTGCGCTGAGCTTGTAAAAGAGTGTGACACTTTTTTTACAGAATACATCTCATTACAGGTCGCTCCTGATGCCTTTGACACGCAGGTCTCGTGAACAAATAGAGTATGCTAAATATTATTCGTCTACCAGAAGACACGCTAAAGGACTGCTAACAAAACGGAGGCAAATTCAGAACCCAACTTTTTGTGAAAATTCTTATAATAGCTTCTGCAGCAACAAGTCGTCAACTTCATCATCAAGAAATTCATTGGTTGCTGAGGCTCAGAATAGTGTATGGTTAGGTTTTTACACTTTTTTGGTAAAAGTTTGATTAGTCTGGAAAATTCAGAATTGGTTATACATTTTTTTCAAATGTCCTGCATCTGGGGTATTTTGAATGTATGAACTGAACACATCTAGCACCCTTTCTGAATGCAATTAGTTCAAAAATATTCATAGTTTTTAATCATATCTTCAGGCAAGTATTGTTTATCTATCTACTTGAATTTCACGAAATAGATTTGATTTTCAATTTTGATTTGTGTTTAGCTGACAGCTACCTTTTTAGTTGCTCGTACAGTGTATCTAGAAGTTCATCTTTTGCTGGAGAAACAGGTTTCATCAACTCCACATTCAACACGCTTTCTGTCTCAAATACAAGATCAGATCTGAACAAAGGTCTGTACTTATAAATATAATTTTTCGTAAGTTGTGTCTGGGTGCTGTAAGATTTAATGGTAAAAAATTGGTATTATCAGTCTTGAAATTTCAGCCTTGAAAAGCATTTTGAATGAGGAACTTTTACAAGCATATCTGAAAAAGAAGGTGAAATTGCGGAAGCGAATTCAGAAGTACTGTTACAACAACCGTACTGCTAAGTGCTCGATTTGCCGGCTTTCTGGTAGTCTTCACAGAATCATCTGTTATAGGTGTGTGCTACCTCTTCCTCATTGACTTTTGGTCTTCAGAAATGTTCTCGGTTACTCCCTATCCATTTTGATTATTAAAATTCCCAAATCTTGTTGAATGAAATTTGAACTTCTTTTACGGCTATAATTTACTTTTCCTTTACGTGAAAAGCTTTCATTGATTTAGATCTTGAGTTTCTTTGTTTCTGACTTCACTTCACTCCATCAGAAGTCAGAAACAAGGAAACTTGCCCGTTAAATCGATGAAAGCTTTCCACGTGAAGGAAAAGTAAATTATGGCCGTGAAAAAAGTTCAAATTTCATTCAACAAGATTTGAAAATTATAAATGAAAATTTTTGCAGACGTTAAAGAGTAATTTCAGGGGGAAGACAAAAATAATGAAATGTTATGTGATTTATCAAGATCCTTGTAAATGCTCATTGTCTGAAGCTACTGCTTTTGTTCTGGCATCTGACTGCAAAGATTGGCTTTCGAGGCTTCGACCGATGGATTTCGCTTTATTCTTTGCTGGCTTTGCTTTTATTTTACGTGTTATAGAACTTTTGATATGGTGATATCTAATCCTTTCTTTTCAGAAATGGAATGTATTTGTTTGTGTCTTGTTTGATTTTTAAAGCAACAGGTTGCTTTGCTTAGCTTTTATTTTAGACTTGCAAGAACAATCGGTGCTGTTGTTTTCTTTGTTAAAAGTAGTTATTTATCGTTGACAAGCAATAACTCCTGGCTATCAAAAGCGCTTGTTTACTTTTCTATCTGCGCTTGTATCTTGATAATGAAATAATAGTACGGGTTTTCCTTGAACTCCAATGTTGCGATCACCTCAAAATGTCATGAATACAAATGCACTACCGGTTAACTATCCAAAAAAAAGACGGATAACCTTAGTGGTGCGTTGCGGGCTTTTCTTCATGATCGTTTTTTTCTAATGGTCATGCTGTACATTTATTTGTATATTTTTGTCTATAAATTTAAAAGTCTATTTGTATCGTAGTCGGACTTGTCTTCTTACCCGTTGCTCTGCGAATCTTTCGCTTTTCTTTTCTCCGTTCAAATTATTGATGTAGAATTGGTCTTTCAATGAACTCTTCAAAGTTGCCAACTTTATGTTTCCATTACGGTTTTCAAATCCATGCGATATTGTGATAAGTAGCTATAAGCGATTTATATGCCTTGCAGTCAGACAATATTGGTGATCTTTGGGTTATAAGTATTTGTCGCCACTGCATCAGATTGATTCTGTCTTTTATTATAGCGTTGTATTCTTCTTTCCTTTTTGTTTTTCATGATTGTTTATAAGTCAAGCTACTATAAGCTCTAAGGAAACAAAATTTTTATATTTTGGAAAAAGAGTAATTTTTCTTTTTGTACGAAGGTTTGATTTTTAGTACTGCAGAGCTGAGTAGAAGAAATGTAGCTTGTACTCAATTCATAGATTATATTTTTAAAAAAGTGATGTAATAATTTACACCATTTGACATAATTAGGAGAGAAAATTTTGGTATTGGCATAGATATGTGCGAAAGTTGAAGAATGACGAGCTGTCAAATGGTTAATGCCAAGGTGAACCTGCGATGTGATTTGAACGTGTAATATATTTCTTTAAAAGTGATGAACGTCTATGACGCTTTTAGTTTGCCGGAAAACAGCTAAGTATCAATAAAAAATTATTTGTAAAACTGTTTTTGAGAGACCAAAGTATTAGATGACACTGGTGCCTTTTTTTGTGTGATTAAGGAAGGATTCTTAGTATGGACCTTATTATTTACAAATCACAAGTCTCGTGTTTTCAGTTATCAGAGATTTTATGTTTGCTCTCAATCTCAAACGAATAAATTTGTCAGTTTTTTCTGTCTGGAAGGTTTACGAGTAGTTTGTGGCTGGGCTGGGTTTTGTTCTTTCTAGTATCCAGAAGTGCAGTCTGGTAGTTTATCTGATGATAGAACCTTGCAACGCAGGCTGCCACTGAGAAATCCTTGACGTGTTTCAGATCTGTTTAAAAAGGTACGTTTAGGTCCCTACGCTTTACACTTCTTATCCCAAAGTGTGTTTCTCATGGTAACAGGAGCGTAGAAGTTGTCTTTTCCTTGAATTTGCACTTCGTTACGCAGAAAAGTAATGTAACAGGATCAACAGTGTGTTTTAGAAAAAAATTTTTACTAAGCTGAGTAAATAACGGCTAGGTATTCTAAAAAGCTGTGTAACTCGGAGTTATAAGAATTGACAGCCGTTTGAAGCGCTCCTTTTTTTTTTGATTAGGGGGAAAGACCATTGAAAAAAAGGTCGTTTTTTACCGCATTTTGAAGCAAGGCGACCTTTGTGAAAGGAAATTTGTTGAGCAAACTTCGGAGAAAAATCAATTAAATTTTTGCCTCTTTCTTGAAAATCTTTCCTTCTGTGCCAGTGTAAAAAAAAAAACTGGTACCATATTCCAGTAGACATTTAGGAGCTGAGGATAGAAATAGTCCTTATAAAAAGAGCTGCTTTTTTATTTCAAGCACATATTCGCAGTTTCTTTACTTCGTAAAGTCTTTATCTACAACGTTATAAATTTCTGTGTAAGTGAATGAACTCTCATTCGTTTCAAAAGAGAACATTTTTGGATTTATACACTTATAGCTTACAATCTGGAAGATTCAGAACTGGGACAGATCAAACTAAAGTGAACTGCTGCGTATCACAGTGCGGCACGGGACCACTTCTCTACCGAGAAAGAAATTCGTGACGTTTGCGATGTTTGTTGGGTAGCACAGTGGTTGTCAGTAGTCGACATGCTTCATTTGTTGGAAGGCTTCGCGTAACATCAGTTCCAATTTCCTCTTTCAAGTTTTATTTTATGGTAATGGATTTTACGTGCCGAATGTACGTAGTTGATCTACTGCCTATACTAATGTCAATAATCAGTGCTACACTATATTCATTGGTTCAACGAGTTTGCTAAAACTGAGAAAATCAGTTTTCTAAAGGTTTCATCTCGACTCCTGTTTTGATGAGAAATAAACAGGACAAAATTGGAAAGCGTCTACCTGTCAGGAAAATTTTTGAAAATTGTCATTATCAGACTCTGACAGGAAAAGCCAAGCCACTTGCTGCGGTTTCCCAGGCGAAAAATTTTTGAGATGAATCAAATAACCGTGAGATTGTGCTAATTAGTCCTGTGAACATGGCTCCTTTGAGAATTAAAGCCGGAACACGTACGTCCCAATCCACAAGGCGTTGAATTCACCGACTTGAACCTACTGTTTCCTCACAATTGCAGAGCGCTTGAGACTAATTTGATCAGGCTTTACCTTACCAGCAAACCTACAAGTTTTTCTGACCTCAGAAATCCTGTTCCGCCCCTCGGTCATCCGCTAGGGCTTGAGCCGTGCATTAAAAGAAAACAACGTTTGTAAAACCCAACCACCCCATACTCAATTATATTCAAGCCATCTCATCTTTGTAGTTTTCTACCAGTAGTCTGCAGAATCATGAAGATATCACACTATATTTCAACCCGTACATACAAGCGACTTGCGAAAGGATAGAACAAGGTGAAAAAGAGCTAAATATCGTGAAAGTAATTGGATTTAATGATGTCAAGCAAAACACCATTATGCTTTAAAAAGTTATGAGTTTTTTTAACACATTTCTGTAACAAATCACGGGGTAATCACCCGACCATACAATCAGGGAGTAACAAATCCCTGTGTAAGGATCCAACTTGAAAAAGGAAATCAAAAAGTTTAGTGCATGGTTTCCACAACTGTTCCTGATGTCAAATATTTACCTATAAAATTCTCCTGCTATACCTCTTCAAAACGGTTTGAATTTCTCTCAACCGCTGATAGAACAAACATGATCAAAGTACGTGACACTGATGACAACACTCTTATGACGTCAAAAAAGAGGATAGCCGCAAAAAAAATCGTTAATGAGTAACAAAAGCTAGTAACAAAGCAATTCAAAACAAAAGAATAACAAAATTCATGAGTCCGACTTTAATTTAAGATTCTTTTGAAAACAAATACTTTGTGCTACGAGATAATAATGAATGAAAACAAGAATTTAACAAGAAATATTCAGAATTTTTCAAAATATAAGTCTCTTTCGGGAGTAACAAGTTTAATTAAAAGTAACGAGCATTACTAGCCATGTCTTTCATCAATAAATCAAACATACGAAATGTTCAAATGGCAGTTTTTAATGATTGCAGATCATTGATAAGATCGGCAACATTACGCTGGATTCTGGAAAAAAAACTGCTTCTTCTTTGCTCATTCGATTTCAACTGTAGCGATGCACGAAGTATGATCTACAAATGATCTACAAATGACCAACGACTACCAAACGAGTATAAAACTGCGGAGGTTAGTTACGCGTTATTTACAAAATAGTTAAGACTTTTCATGCTCAGATATGAGACTTCCAGATAATCTTCAAAATGAAAACTTGCAAAAAAAACTCATAAAACCACCTGCAACCCGCTTTATAATTTCATTTTGCGTAGTGTTTGACGGGCTTTAAAAATAATGCAACATAACAAAGAATATTTACAACAGAAAACGGTAAACCACGCTGTCCAATAATCCTTGTTTAAATAAATATTCTGAACTACCTGAGATAAGCGTCTTCAAAAACAAAACTTATGCCAACGCGGCAAATAAACAGTATGAGGTCCAGAGAGTATCGAAGTTCCAAAAAACTGGCGATTAACTAACTAGGCGTTAATTACAATAAATTAAAATTAGAAGCATTTCAAAAAATTAATCTCGATCACGACCAAACTTCATTTTCTTCTGTTTTTCTGGCCTTTCAATTCGTTGCATACGCTTTCTAGAACGTTTTTCGTCAGCCTGAAAGCCAACTTGATTGCCTTGTTGATAAAAAAAAAAGTAACCCGTATTCAACCAAGAAATTTCAGTTTTTCAAAAATAAGGCAGTCAAAAGGAAAACACTGAGGAACAGGTCATCTCAGGCGTTTTTTACTACATGAAGTTTTTTTACAAAGCAAAAGAAGTAAGCTCACGTCGTCGTTGTCGTTATCATCTCGTTTTCTATCGTCAAGACGAATTTTTGAATAATGGACGTTCCACTCTTTACTATACAATCGAGGAACTGCTCGCTAAAAATGAAATAAAAGCAAATGGAACAAAATAAATTAACAAGCGACTTAAAAATTTTGATTTTAGTTTTAAAATTAAAGAAACGTACTCCAGTGAGACTAACAAATATAATATGTGACACAGTTAACATTAGTAAACACACATATTGAAAATTTAAATTACCGGTCGGCCATTGTAAATTGCATCCAGTTTCAAAGTAAGGTAGTCGTAGACCTAAAATTGTCTTTAAAAGTAGAAGGCAGAAAGCAATGCTTTCCATACTAGAATCAACAATATTTATACAACCCTATTAGAAGAAAGAATACTTCAAGCGTAGTACCTCCAGCATCCGTGGTGTGACGCCGTGACGATTCTTCTCAATTTCTGGGTCTTCAAAAGACAGCTTCCTAAATAAGCAACAAATTTATCTCCACGAAAAAAAAGTTGCGTAACAGAAGAAGCAAAATCAGAAGACAAATGGTTTACTGCAAAATTATAAAGCTAAACGATAAGCGACTTATATGGCTGCATTTATCATAACTTTATCTGACAAGAGCTGTCCTAGGTATAAATACGACAAAATTTCAAGCCCTTAAGCCTGTTACTAAAAGAAAGCTTACCCCCTTACATAAGGTTCCATCTTGAAAGAGAAGCTGCTTGTAATAAAGTAGTCTTCTGACGATGACAGAGGTGTATACTGCAATACTTCGTCCTGAAAATTCCTGAAACTTTCATTTTTTTCAAATTTCTGAAGCGCCAAATGATAAATCAACACTAGTTGCAGAAAAATGATTTTAAAAACACATCTAAAATCCCATTATTGAATAAGTAGTAATCAGAGCAGCATTTGGCGGTCGATTTAGATTAATAAGTCACTACAACAAAAAGCAGCTCCATTATTTAAGTTTCACGAACCACTCAAATTAAC